AGCCAGTTTTCATTATTAAAGTTTGGCAAGTTGTTGACTTAATGATTTATTAATCTCGACTGTGATTAAGAGATAAGAAAAAAATAACACTTGTCGGTAATGCTGACTATATTGAAAAGTGTCACGCATTTTAACAACAGTCAGTAAAAAAAAAACTGAAAAAATTCATTGCACAGCTCAGGACAAATTTAACTGTATTGTTCTTCATATGGAGGAAATCTCTGTTATAGAAAAACAAAAGTGCGAAATCAAGGTTATTTTCTTGTAACCTTATTTTTGCACTCGTTTCGCAAGTAGGACTTCCTGCTCAGAGCACAAGAGAATGGGTCGGTCTTAGGCTCGGAAAAACCGCAGATAAGCCTCGACGTGGCACATCCGGTAAAAAGTAAAAGTTAATCGATTTTCTGTTGGACAAAAAAAAAACACTACTGGGTACGGAGAGATTTCAATAGGATCGAAATCTATATCATATATTGTAGAATATAATGTAACGTAATAAAATGTTCTCAAGTCGATTTGGCGCGGTTACGATAGACAGAGAGGAAGTCGTTACAAATCTATAGATTTTCATCTGTCAAATTATCCCTTTTCCCCAAGAAAGTCCCCATTTTCCTTGTCAAATAACCTTTTTTCCCACTAAAAAACCCTTATTCCATCAAATTAACCCTTTCTCTCGTCAAATTATCACTTTTCCCCGTGAAATTAACCATTTTCTCGTCAAATTTCCTTTTTTCCCGCCAAATTAACCATTTTCACACCAAATTAACCCTTTTTTAATTACAAATTAACTCTTACTGTAAAACATTAAGAAATGGTATGAAATATATATATGTACGTACAGTACATTTCCTACGTTTTTGCGAATTAAAATAAATAAAATTATTAGGCTCCTAGAAGACCATGTGGAAATTAAATACAATTAAACTTCAAAAAATTGTTCTTTTGTTAATTTGAAAGGAAGAACATTTTCTGTTAATTAGAAATTTTCTTTATAGCTTTTTTCCATCAAATTATTCTTTATAGATTTGAAATTAATCCTTTTAACTATTTTTTTACGATCAGATAAACCATTTTTTTAATTTAAAAGAAAACCATTTAAATTCAAAAATTGGCCCTTTTTTAATTTTAAATTAACCTTTTGTTTAAAAAAACCTAGGAGTTAAAGGTAAAAAGGGCTCATTTGAAGTAAATAAAAGTTAATTTGAATTTAAAAAAGATTAATTTGAAATTAAAAAGGCTAATTCGCAATTAAAAAATGTTATTTTAAAATTAAAAAGTTCAATTTGAAGTTAAACCGGGTTATTCTTTTTAATTTAAAACGTAACTCGTTTTCATATGGTTTTTAACTTATCTTAGTTGCTTTAAATAATGGGATTATTTCGAAATTAAAAAGAGAATTCCAAATTAAAAAGAATTATTTTGAAATTAAAAAGGGTTAATTTGACATTAAAAACTGTTAATTTGAAATAAACAAAAGGTTAACTTGATGTAAAAAAGAGTAAATTTGACGGGAAAAACTATAATTTCGGTTTCAAAAAAATAAAATAAATTTCCTCCTGAAACGATTTTTGGACGATTGTGAGATTTTATTGTCAGGATTTAAGTTAAAACAGATTCATTTGAAATTAAAAAAGAAGGATTCAAATTAAAAAGGTTAATTTTACTGAAGAAAGCAATAGTAGAATGAAATGGAGGTCCACTAGGGAGGGTGGTAAGGATCGGATCATTCATGATCTCTATAAAACCAAATTAAGTCTCAATTTTTCAATTATTTGAGATATTAGACTGAAAAGTATTTCAGATACAGGAAACAGATAGGTTTTAGGAAACGTTGCAACCTTTAACAATTTCATTCCTTTAATTATTTACGAGTTGGCAAATAGATGGTTTCTTTCCCACTCTACATGCTGCACTAAACAATTTCATTTAAGGTAAAGAAAATCAGCAATATTTCTTGATCGATTGTGCCTTTCTGGGGAATAAATCATGGATTTGGGAGGCACTGGGAATTATTGGCGAAGAACGAAAAGGTCAGCAGATTTGCGCGAATCGCTTTGATGTGGCGTAAGTGCCCTTTAAACTGCCAATGATTCCTTCAAAAGGTTAGACAACCAGAGATTCGTTTGGAAAAACAGTCGGAAAAATCGGAAACGCAATCAACGCAAATTAGATCGATTTCAAGATGGGACATCTTGACAATCAAAATAACGATACTGATAATGTCATATTGGCAGACACCGTATACAAAGAAGCACACAACTTCTAGAGCAATCCTGTGAAAGTTGGAATGGTTAATTTGACCTTATAAACATGTGTGTATGTTTTTTTAAACCAGCGGACGGATTGAGGGCCGGGTAGGTCTAGAATAAATAGTAGGTTAAATTTTTTTCTGAAATTTTTCCCCTTTCAAATGTTTCCGTTTATTTTGGAAAATCGCCAAATTGGTTATGGCTTTGATACGATTCAACCGATCCACAGAAAATTTTCCAGAACTTTAGAGCCCTATAAGGCACACGTGACCGTTTAAATTTGACCTTCGTAAATAAATTGGAGATTTAGAGTAAAGGCGTTTGAGGAGTGTTTTTATTTTCCTCACTTATAATGGCATAAAATCTACACGTTGTTGACATGACCTGAAAGAAGAAACATTTTGCTTTCTAACAGCTGTAATAGCGTCAAATTTGGATAAAATCCAGAGGAGTCATGCATTATTTAATAGGAACACTGAAATTCGGTAAAAAAAAATGGCCTGCTGATTCCAAAACAACCTTTTTTTGTATCAAATTAACCCTTATTAATTGTAAATTAACCTTTTTTTACTTTCAAATTGGCATTTTTAAATTTCAAATTAACCCCTTTTCTAAAGCATTAACAAAACCTTTTGCCGTCAAAATAAGCCTTTTTGCACCAAATTAACCTTTATTAATGGGAACTTAATCTGTTTTGTCTTTAGATTAAACCTATTTAATTTAAAATTTATCTATTTTATCTGCAAATTAACCCGTTTTTTAAAGCATTAAAACCTTAGGAGATAGTACGAAATGTAAGCATGAAGAGTTAAATTCCTGTATACTTGTTAACTTTTTTAAATATAAAATAATTGCTCCCTTAGAAGACCATTTGAAAAACAGATACAATTACAAGTTAAAATATTAAAAATTAATGGTTCTTGCATTAATTCGAGATTTTTTAAAGTATAAAATGATAAGCAAATATTTTATATTTTACAAATATGTTAATTTATTAATGGTATATTTTTAAAACTTAATATTTCTGATTTGTCTATTGTGGTAAATTTTGTATAAATTGCTGTAATTTTTCTGGATAAAATTATAAGTAAGATACATAAATGTTCAGTGATTTAAAACAAAATGATACCTAGAAATAAAAAATGAACGATTTATTCCAGCAACACTACCGAATTTTATATTTAAAAAAAATGAATATCCAGCTACTATGGCTGTACTATTTCTTTTGTTTTTCTTTCAATGAACAAGGGGTAAATATTATTTGGAAGAAAACACATAATTCCTTTGTAGATATTCTAGGAATTTATCACCTTCATCAGAACTATGAAAATGTAAATAATAATTTAAAAGTTTAACAAATATGAACATCTATTCACAATTAATCCAGAGGAGTTTTGAATTTTTAAGTGAAAAACGTGACAGACGAGATTGATATTTATGTGTGATGCTAAGTGACTGTTAGTCAATAATTATTCAGAAATTGTGAGATGCGGTCTGGTATGATGTAGGTTTCAGAAAAACATTTTCTTTATCATGCCAACGTTTCGATCTTTATTGAGATCATTTTCAGGGCTCAAAGTGTTTGTTTTCGTGTAGATGTGACATTCTTGTGTGTCGTGTTGAGAATGCCCTCAAGTGCACGACCCACAGTAATGACACATCTACACAGAAAACAAACAATTTGAGCCCTGAAGATGATCTCGATAAAGATCGAAACGTTAGCACGATAAAGAAAATGTTTTTCTGAAACCTCCACCACACCAGGCCGCATCTCACGATTTCTGATTATTTATATTTATATTTAAGAGCCAATATAATAATACAAATAATACAAATTGGATGTTATTACAATTGTTAGAAAGCTATATGTTTCTTCTTTCATCATTTGTCAAACAAGGTTTAAATTTTATACCATTATAAGTGAGGAAAATAAGGATGAAATCGATAAAAACTCTTCAAAAGTTTTATCTCTAAATCTACAATTTTAATTTATTTACGAAGATCAACTTAAAACGGTTGCGTGTGCTTCATAGGGCTCTAAAGTTTTGGAAAGTTTTCTATCGATCTGTTGAATCGTATCAAAGTCATCACCAATTTTTTGATTTTTCCCAAATAACCGGAGACATTTGAAAGGGGAAAAATTTAAGAAAAAAAATTAAACTAACTCGAGACCTCGCCCATTAATCCCTCAATCAGCTGGTTTAAAATAACATATACACGTATTTAAGAGCTTCAAATGGTGCTTAATACGAAATTGAATTGCTTTTTTTTTAACAAATTGATTTTGGTTTTACTTACTTTTCTATTTATTTATTTTCTAATTTTGTTCTATATTCTCGTTTAAATCAATATTACCGATTTTTTTAACCTAAAATAACAAATAGATTCACATACAATAATCTTGAAGTTCATGCAAAACAAAGGCATAAAATTTAAAAAAAAGTAAATTATTTTTAAATATTTTTTCTCGGCTCATAGGGCCCATTGGGAAGAATCATGAGACAAGTTTGTAATATTTTTCTTACTTGTATCACAAAAAAAATTCTATGAAATAAAAATAAAATATTTTTATTGAGACAAGGATAATATTTCTGCGCATTGTGGTAAATTTATTATAAATTGCTTTGATTTCGTTGGTTGCAATTTATAAGTAAGGTAGATTATCAGAAATTTTAACAAACAATTCACTAAACAAGAAGAAGACTTATACACATTCCATGTTAGAAATTTGTTTTTGTTTTGACAAGAGTTCAGAAAGGATTAGGGCAGGTTTGTTAGGAATCACCTGCACTTATCAATGGTGACATTTGTCCCATTCGTTTTTCTTCTTTCTCGTAGCATACCAGGTTACCAGGTCAGCCGTTGGAAGTCGAAGAACGGCGAGGCGAGGCGGTTGGCCATACGCCAGAACCAGTCGTACGCAAATGTACACGGAACTAATTGTACGCCAACTTCGGCGTCCGACCAAAGGACAAAATATCTCGTCTGTCAAGTTTTCCACTTACAAATTCCTAACTCCTTTGGATAAATTGTGGATAGATGTTAATATTTGTTCAACTTGTAAATTATTAATTAAAGTTTCATATTGATGAAGGTGATAAATTCATCGAAACTCTACTAAGGAACTAAGTGTTTTCTTCCAAATATTTACGCCTTGTTTATTGAATCAAAAAGAAAATAAATAGTACAGTGTTAACACAAAACGACACGGCACCGTTTAAAATCGGCCCACCTGACGATTCAGACCTGCGATTTTATGACAACGCAATTTAAAATCTATTTTCAACAGGTTTTTTTCACAGCCAGGACAAATTAGAGACAAAACACACAGATAATCTTAGATGTTTACGCCACTGTACATTTGTAAATAGATCGTACTCTTAATCCCACAAGTAGTTGTTTTCCTTTGATCCCCTCCGCTTACGCGAGCCAATCTCACCTCTCATGGAATTCTCTTACGATCCACTCCTCCTATTCTCTCTAGCCCTTTTCGATATTTAAAGTTGTGCCAGTGATTTAATGGTTTTCTGGTTCAACCCGAAATTAATATTCCCAAGAAAATTAGCCGAAGCTGTACACCGGAGACTACGACGGACTCGGGCCCGAAGTTGCGTCGCCGCTGTGAATTCGACAAGTTTCAGCAAGGTGAGTTTCTGGGCATTATTTTCCGGTGAATGGTTTTATTTAATTTTATTTCATTTAAGTTGAAACATTGGCTCACTTAAAATTTCTCATTTATTTTCGTTCATTTTTATTTTATTATTTAATTTAATTCTTAAGAAATTATTCCCCTTTTTTTCTTTTTCGAATCGTTTATATCAAACGATTAAACATTACAAAAAGAAGTTTTTATCGATAGTTGGACAGGCGATAAGGCAAAAAAAACCGCATGTTTTATGAAACATGATATCTCTCTCTAAATTATATGCCGATATTCAATATTATAGACTAAAAATGATAAAGGATGACGCATGGAAAGACTCGTTGAACTTACGATATACATATCCCCTTCATAAGGGCTTTCAAACATTAATTGATAATTTCAAAATTTGAAATTTATATTTAAAGCATAAAGAAATTTAAAATTATACAGAGAACGAGATAAAACGCGACGCGTCCGTTCCAGAAACGTAGGTCTCAAAATTGTGGATAGATGTAAATGCGTGGTGTTTAGGGACCGTTTGTTAATGATTATTCGGAAATCGTGAGATGCGGTCTGGTGTGACGTAGGTTTTAGAAAAACATTTTCTTTATCGTGCCAACGTTTCGATCTTTATTGACATCATCTTCAGGGCTCAAAGGGTTTGTTTTCGTGTAGAAGTGACATTCTTGTGTGTCGTGTTGAGAATGCCCTCAAGTACACGACCCACAGTAATGACACATCTACACAGACAACAAACAATTTGAGCCCTGAGGATGATCTCGATAAAGATCGAAACGTTGGCACTATAAAGAAAATGTTTTTCTAAAACCTACGTCACACCAGACCGCATCTCACGAACTCAGAATAATCATAGATGTTAATGTTTGTTGAACATTTAAATTATTATTTACAGTTCCATAGTTCTGATGAAGGTGATAAATTACTCGAAACTCTATAAAGGAACTATGTGTTTTCTTCCAGATAATATTTACCCCTTGTTTATTAAATGAAAAATAAAAGAAAAAGAACGGCCACCATATCAATTAGCTGGATGAACATATTTTTTTTCTGCCATTGTTTTGGGAGAACTTTAATATTATTGTACGTCAGTCTATTTATATTTTAGGTAAATTTTAAAAAAATCGCTAAGATTGCATTAAACAAGGATATAGAAAAAATTACCAAAATAAATAAAAACGCAAATAAGACAAAAATCTATTTGCTAAAAAAGAAAAAAAGCAATTCAAGTTCGTATTAAGCACCATTTGAAGCTCTTAAATAATCTCGTCTGTCAAGTTTTTCACTTAAAACTTCATAACTCCACTGGATTAATTGTGAAGATGTTCATATTTGTCAAACTTTTAAATTATTATTTATAGTTTCATAGTCCTGATGAAGGTGATAAATTCATCGAAACTCTTACTAAGCAACTCAGCGTTTTCTTCCCAATAATATTTAACCCTTGTTTATTGAATGAAAAACAAAAGAAATAGTACAGCCATGGTAGCTGGATGATCATTATTTTAATATATAAAATTTGGTTGTGTTGCTGGAATAATTCGTTCATTTTTTATTTCTCTGTATCATGTTTTTTACATTACTGAACATTTATCTTACTTATAATTTTATCCGACGAAATTACAGCAATTTATACAAATTGTACCACAATAAACAAAACAGAAATATTAATCTTTAAAAATATAACATTAATAAATTAATATATTAGTAAAATATAAAATACTTGCTTATTATTTTATACTTAAAACAAAATCTCGAATAATTACAAGAACCATAGTTTTTAAATATTTTTACTTAAAAACGTAATTGTAACTATTTCCATATGGTCTTCTATGAGCGCAGTTATTTTATATTTTAAAAAGTTAACAGGTACACTGGAATTTTTCATGCTTACATTTCGTACCATCTCCTAAGTTTTTTAATGCTTTAAAAAATGGTTAATTTCCAGATAAAATAGATAAATTTTAAATTAAATAGGTTTAATCTAAAGACAAAACAGATTAAGTTCCCATTAATGAAGGTTAATTTGAATTTTAAATTAATATATTTACAAATTATAAAATACTTGCTTATTATTTAATACTCTAAAAAATCTCGAATTAATAGAAGAACCATTAGTTTTTATATATTATAACTTTTAAATTTACTTGTAACTATTTTTCATATAGTCTTCGAAAAATCTGTGTGTGTTCCTATTAAAAATTCACAACTACTCTGGAATTTATCCAGATTTGCCAGTATTACAACTGGTAGAAAGCAAAATGTTTTTTTCTTTCAGGTTATGTCCACAAAGTGTAGATTTTATGCCATTATAAGTGAAGAAAATAAGGTTGAAATCGATACAAACTCCTTGAACGTCTTATCTCTTATGTATAACTTTATCCAACGAAATCGTAGCAATTTATACTACATTTACCACAATTCACAAAAATATTTTTATTATGAATATATTATTAATAAATTAATATACTTTTAAAATATAAGGTACTTTGCTTTATGTACCGTTTAGTTTATATTTCAAAAAATCTCGAATTCATAGAAGCACCTTTAGTTTTTAAATATTATAATGTTGTATAAAAGCCCAGTTATTTTATATGTATAAAAAATCGCGAATATACGAGAATTTTACTTTGCATCCTTATGTTTCATACAATCTCAAGAGTGTTAATTTGAAGGTAAAAAAGATTTAATGAACATTAATAACGGTTAATTTGTTGCAATACAAACGCTATTTTGACGGGAAAAGGATTAATTTGATAGAAAATAGCTATTTAAAATTGGCAAATATACAGGAAATTTACTTTTACGGTTATATTTCATTTGAGAGAAATTAGTTTGGGATGTATCAGGAGAGCGATTTTTTTTCACCAATGTCCATTGTTCCTATTACAAATTCATAACTCCTCTGGATTTTATATAAATTCGATGTTTTTACAGTTTAGAAAGCTACATGTTTCTTCTTGTGTCCTGTGGATGGGTTGAGTCCTTTTAAAGTTATCATCTGATTTGAGATTTTCCAAAATGATCGGATACGAAGAATTTGAGAAGTTTTTTAATTTTCCTAAAAAATTGTATTGATTTTTTTGTTATGATTACCTAAATATATATACCTATTTTCCTACTTCGCTCGGTCACAAAATAATTATGTATTTCAACAGGATGCAGCTCGAATTTGCTCACCCAAATTTGCTATTTTCGTGTTTTAACAAATTAGGTTTAATTATTTAAGAAACCCAGTTTATAGTGTTTTTTTCTAATCCGTTGAATATAAATTTTTTCCCTTTCAAATTGCCCCAGATGTTTTTTGTAAATCACAAAAATGGTGGTAAGTTTGAAATATTTCTGCGGATCTGCCGAAACTTTTTCAGAGATTGCCAATTCTCTAAATTACACGCATTGGCATAACTTTCGACACTGTGAATAAATTTGAACCAGTGATAAAAATACTTAATTTGGGGGTTTTTTGTTGATTTTATTTTTTTAACATTTAAAATGACATAAAAGCTAAGATTCATTGAGAAGGAATTAAACAAGAAATAGCCAGCTTCCTAGCCGCTTTATAACGGTGATTTTGAATAATAACTGAAAAGTTATGATTTTTTTTATGTGGAACACCGGATATCAGAAAGAAAAACATTCCCAAAATCTAGCCCAAAAATGTGTATTTTGCTTGTTATTAAATTAGTATTTACTAGTATTAGCAGCTTAAAATTAACCCGAATTGGGTTTGTTGAAAAACAACTTTTTTTCGATTTACTTTATTGAGAGCGTCTATTAGTTTTTGTACCTTTGATATATAATCTCATTTAATGCAGTCTTACATATTATTTTCTTGTCCTAGTTAAAATAAGAAATAGGTTGATATATATAATAACCAGCACAAAGAAGGCTGAAAAAAAGGCTTAAATTGCTTTAAATTATTTTCTTCACGGCTCCTGGAGCCCATCGGCAAGAACACTGGGACACTCGCCTAATATTTTTCGTTTTGGTATCACAGACAAAAAAAATTCCATCGAAATCTGTGATCCCACGTAGTCTCCTCTTGTCGATTGTAATTATATAAAAAGACAATTGTAAAGTCACGTACAAGTGAAACCATAATATTTATTATCAACATCTAAGTTGTTGCAGTAACTATAAATTATACTCGAAGAAATAACTCGAAATCATCTATAAATTATCTTTCCCAAATCCTACATGAATTGTGGAAATTTGACAATTGGAGCTCGAATTTTGGGTGTAGTGATTTAATTTAAGTTTAAGCTTTAAGGTCATTCAGTGATACTAACAGATTACGAATATTTTTGTTAACAATTAAGACAAGACGTGCTTTATCAGGCACTGGTTTCAAAAATTTTTCTCCCACGATTCCATTCTGGGCCTGTGCACTTGTCTCTTTTCCTTGTTCTATCTTGCTTAAATAAACTACGTTCTCTTAATCGTTCGTGATGTTACATTTGGATTGCACTTTTGTTGATTTTTGCCAAATTTTGATAAAATTTCTCGTAGCATTAAAATTTTAGTATTTTTGTGACTGAGTGCTAAGTACAAAGGTGATCCTTCAGCTATTATCCTGCTAAATCCACCCTAACATAAAACATCTGTATTTAGTGATATTTTCTACGCCTTACAGGAACTCAGGAGACGCGTATCCGCAGACCCATTAATTAGAAAAATATATGATCAACTTATAGGAAAAAGTGGGAAAAAGGTCGTCCTGGCATGGGTTCCCGGGCACAATGGCATAGGGCATATAAAGCAGCGGCGTTAGCCACGACAAGACCACACGACCCCACCCATTCTTTACATCCAGCGGATTTGCAAAGAACCTTTGCTAATGCTATAAAAAATGAATATTGAATCCGCCGTAACGAAAGAAACATATCTAAATTAATAAATGTGAATAAAGACATCGGTACCTGCCGGCGAAGGGTGGGTCTAGACGGTAAAAGGTCATACTTACCAGGTTGTGCACAGGTCACAC